CTCTATATGACCAAAACTATGTGAACACTTCTCCACATGAGCTCAGGTGCATCACTGTGCTTCTGTACAGAAAGCTAGCTCCATAAACACACAGTAGGATAGATTGGAATGCCGATTGCAACTCTTGTCTTCTTGCCCAATATCAGTCACAGTCCAAAATCTTGTGGAAAGCCTTCTCAGAGGCATGTAGGCTTTTATAAAGCCAGGGGGGACTATGAAAGATAATTAATGTGTTTTTGGGATGTAATGTTCAGCAAGTTGACCCTATGCGTTACACCAAGTGGACAATTTATAAATCATCCCCCCAGCTATACACTGGCTAAATAGCATTCACTCTGCATTCTTGCCACAAAATAGTGTCAAGGAATATAGGAATTTCCATTTGCAATGCTCCATTCAGTGGCAAGTTGGCATTTGCCCAGAGCATGGCTGGGAGTATGATTTAAAATACATCCCCCAAGTGTTGAGATGAAAGGACTTAAGTGATTCTCCAGACTAACGCCTAGAGTAGTCTACATCGGGTGTTTCTTGACAAAAGTGTAACATCTCTGTAAATCTACATTTTTCTTCCATGTTCTGGATATTCCAGATTACTTCATAAGTTTATTTTGTTGATTTAGTTATGGAATAAAGGTTGTTCACTTAGCAAAGGAAATGTTCAGCAAATAAGGTAAGAACAGTTCCCTCTTTTGGATACCCAATCATAGGCTAGGAAAAAAACAGGATTGTGTCTACCACATGACTGATTAATTAAAGTAAACACAAAACCTTTTTAATTAATCTCCATAAACATTTGCTTTCCTAAGAGAACAGTCCCCACTCCAGTAGTAAAGGAACCCCACTGGATTCAATTTTTTATAGATTAGTTGGTTGGCAAGGAGGTGTTAATCTCCTGCTGCTACGAAGTTAAAAACCTCATATGAGTCCTTAAATATTTCTTGTTGGCGTTCTCCTGCCATTTACTCATACTACATGTAGGACAGTTTATGTTTGGTAGTGTTATATATAGATACTTGGCAGACAACAGTAGAAGGGAATGACAGGCACACTATATAATTGAAAAGAAAGATTGCGAGAGGGTCAAGAATTACATAAATGTGTTACTTTGGTACACTCCAGGAGATAAAAATAATATCTCCAGCAGCAGTTTATCTGAACTAGACCAGTCCTTTGTGAATCTGGTATAAAAAATAATAACAATGTCTTACTTAGCACTCACCTTGGGTATAAATAACTCAATTTGTAGTCCAAAAGTGGCAGAGATACAGCATAAAATAGCTCAACTTACTCATAATCGTGAATAAATCTGTATAGCTCAAAGCTCAAAGCCCCGGCTGGCAGGATAGGTAGGCGACTATGTGATAAAAACCGCTCTAAGTTCAAACCACTTTGTGGGTGATGTTACTCAATTTCATAGCATTACTTCTGATGCTTATCCTAGGTGGACAGGAAGTGACGGGAAATTACCTCAATGCTAAAAAGACAGCCATACACCATACACTATCCAAAACTAAAAAAAAAAGTTATAGCTATACAAACACTTTAAAGGCTAGTTCACACCAGCTCCAGTGCGTTCTGGCCCCATTCTGAGCCAGATTGCACTGGATTGCATTCTGGCCGTCTCACTGTGTTCTGGGGTGGGAGGGGGCGTGGCGGTGCAGTGAAGTGGCACCACAACCACGCCACGCCCCCTGCCCGCAGTGCAATTGCCCGCACAGGAATGCAAGGCAAATCAATGCCTGCGTTCTGGTCCGGTCAGAAAAAATGCTGCCCAAAATAAAATGCATTAGGCTAAGCATCCCATTACATTAAATATAAGCCCATATTTACTAAGTCTTCCTTTCTTTTTTTTCAAATTCTTTATTTGTCAACAGCGTTGTACAACAGTTTTCACAGCAATACAGGGCATCTGCCCAACACCAGCGTCAATTGTAGTCATAACACATCTTATGTGCATCCCAAACAAAGAGAGATTGCAAACATTTAGTGAAAGTGAATCATATTACTATATGCTTTGGCATCATTTGGTACAATAAGTAATTTCCCATTGTTGCACAGGGTCCTCACACCCTACATTTCCCTTGCACCATTTCGTGTTCCCCACCTCCTATTGACCTCTCCACGGAAAGTGTAATACATTTTTAGTCACTATCGGGGTGGGGAAAAAGCATCTCATGCCTACACACCCCAGAGTGAAATTGTGCATTCCGGTGGATTTGTATGTGGTCCCACAATCTTAGTATGTATTAGAATGTGGGGGTGGTCTACCACATTCCCTACAAGTAGAGAAAGGACATCAAAAGGAGATTGGAAAAATATATAACTGCAGTTCGAAAGCCAGATGGTGGTGGTCTACTCCCTCCCAGGGCCTACACTTCCCGATCCGCTTCCTGATCGGGTAATGCCTGTTTGTACATGTCTGAGTACCTGAAGTGAAGCCATGCTCCCCACGTTGAGCAGAGGCGTTCCTCGGTGTTGCGCATGGACGCTGTAAGATCCTCCATGCGGTAGATGTCATTAATTTTCTCAAACCACATGCGGACTGTTGGAGGAGTGGGCCGGCGCCATAGCAGTGGGATACAGGCTTTGGCTGCAGAGAGCAAATGGATTGTAAGAGAACGCTTGTATTTAGCCATGGATTGGCTAGTCATATGCAGGAGGTATGTCGCAGGGTGATCACCCAGGTCGACCATGGTGAGATGGTTTATGATCTCCCTAACTGCATCCCAAAAGGGTCTAATCTCAGGGCAGTGCCAAAAGATGTGGGCCATCGTCCCCATGTCCGTGTTGCATCCCCAACAAGTGGGAGGCACCCGTGGGTTGAATTTGTGGAGGAGCGTGGGGACCCTGTACCACCTGGACAGAATTTTGTAGCCTTGCTCTTGAAATTGGTTAGCAACGGAAGCCTTGTGTACAAGTGACAGAATTTTAGCACGTTGATCGTCCGTAAATGTCTGACCCAGCTCCGTCTCCCATTTCCTCAAGTAAGGTGGACAGTAGTCCGAAGGTGGTGTGGACAGCATCCCATATATATAAGCTATGACATGTCTCACTGGTGTTCCCTGTCTACACATGTTTTCAAACGGTGTAAGGTCCCGGTTAGGGTGGGCCGTCCGTGGAATAGCCTGGAGGAAATGCCGGATTTGCATTGCTGACCATGCGGGCAGAGGGGGGGTCGTCAATGCGCTTATGGCGTCTTGGGATAACCAAATCCCTTCGCAGGAGAAGTCTAGAAGTCGAAACTTATTGGCAGCTAGGAGTCTCCTAGGTCGTGTGTCGTCCATCCCAGGGCCAAAGTCCGGGTCCCCCATCACCGGAGTCATGGGGGACGGGAATGGTGAAATGGAAGTAACCCTGAACGTCTCTCTGGCCATGCCCAGGGTTGCTCCTATGGTGGTGTGGGAGGACAGAACCTGGGGAAGTGATGCCGTGAGCCATGGTAGACCCTCTATCGGTAGTTTATGTTCTCCCATTTCCCTCCCCCCCCATTGTTTGCTCTCCCGACTACATATCCAGTCGACAACCCGCGCAAGATGAGTCGCCCGGTAATACATAAGTATGTCCGGGAGCCCCACTCCACCGCACCTCTTCGGCAATGAGAGAAGTCTGCGCCCTATCCTGGGGGGACGCCCTGCCCACACAAACACACCGAATAGGCGCCGTAGTTTGAGAAAGAACCCCGAGGGTAGCCGAACCGGCAAAGCCTGCATGAGATATAGCAATTTCTGGAGGATAGTCATTTTGATCGAGTTGCACCTTCCAAACCATGTTAGAAACAGGCCGTGCCAGCGTGCCAGTTCTTGGCTAATATGGAGAAGCAGGGGGACATAATTAGCTTCATATAGTCGTGCCAGGTCCGACGTGAGGAAAGTCCCCAAGTATTTAATGTGCGTCGAGGCCCAATTGAAGTGGAATCGTGCTTTGAGTAGTGATTGTTGTCAACTCCGGCAAGGTAATGGCCATTGCCGCGGATTTAGACAGGTTTACCTTAAAATTTGAGAAGTTACTGTAGCGGTCAATGGTCTGTAGAAGCCTGGGCAGGGATCTCTATTTCCCGGGAACCTCTGACCATAAATAGGAGGGGCTCCAGGGTGAGGACAAATATAAGGGGAGACAGGGGACAGCCCTGTCTAGTTCCGTTACTCAGGGAAAAATACTGTGAGCGAGCCTCGTTGACGTTCACCGCCGCGGTAGGGTGGGAGTACAGAGCAGTTATCCAGCGGTGCATGTTGGGGCCTAGGCCAATATGGTCTAGGACGGCATGCATGAAGGGCCAGCCAACACGATCAAAAGCCTTTTCTGCATCCGTGGAGAGGAGCATCAGGGGGGCTCCCCGCGTGCGCGCTCCATGAATTACATTCACGGCCCGAGTGGTGCTGTCCCTAGCCTCTCGCGTCGGAATAAATCCC